AGTATTGTTGACGTTCGTTGATATAGCGTTTGTTATAGAGCGACTGTTGAAAATAAGTGTATCGTAAAGTTGTATTCGAAAAAAATAAACCAGTTTTGTTAAGTAAGGACTTGTGTCGCTTAAGTTTCGTCGGAACGAAGTTACGGAAAGTTAATTAACAAACGGAGACGTAACAATATTTTACACTATTTTAATAGAATCACCTAGAAATCGGATGTTGTGGAGGCAGTAAATTTAAGTGAGTTTAAGAGAAAGCTTGAAAACTGTATGAATGATAAGGGCTGCTGGCTTTAAATTTTTAATTTAATTTATTTATTTAGTTTAGTTTAGAAGATCGCACAGCCGCGATGGAACAATAGGTCCCATGTTGTCCTTAAACATTAGGTTATGGGATATTACAATAAAAATAAAAGAAACCGGGTGCCAATACTCGTGGTGGACACAGATTGCCCTTTGCTTTGTGCTTAACAACAAACAAACAGTAAACCTAAAATTGTATCTGTACGACGATGTTCATCAAAACATGGGGCTGGCATGATCTGGTGATTAGGGTGCTTTATTCGCAATCTGTTTTTCGTGGGTTCGAATCACCGTCACCGAACATGTTCGCCCTTTCAGTAATAGGGACGTTGTAATATGACGGCCAATTCCACTATTCTTTAGTAAAAGAGTAGTCCAAAAGTTGGTGTTGACTAGCTGCCTTCCCTGTAAATTAGGGACGACTACCACACGTAACCATAGTGTAGCTTTGCTCGAGGTTCAACAAAAGTAAACCCTGATTCCAACAACTTGTTTTGTCATTTCTAAAAAAAAACTTAATAACTTGCTTCCCAAATATTTCTTTAAAATTTCAACAAAACATTTTTTTTTTTTCAATTAAAATGAAATATGGTTAGACATTGCTATAATAAGGCTAATTATATAACGTAGATTATAACAATTCAGTTATAACAGTTTTGAATTTGTCTCAGCAACAGTACATGATGGTGAAAATATTTTGAGTAACATGTTTGTTTGTAGTTGAGCACAAAGCTACGCAATGGGCTATCTGTGCTGTGCCCATCACGGGTATCGAAACCAGGTTTCCTGCGATTTATGTCCGTAGACTTCCAACTATGCCAATAGAGGGGGCTGCAGGAAACTATTCTTGGTAAAGCCCAAACTAATTTTGAATTAATTTCACAATTTATTTGTAAGTATTATATATGCATACACTATAGTGTCCGTGTAAAAGATTAATATTCCAAACACAAAATGTAATATAAAATTAAGTGGTTCATACGTTTTCATAGTTTAGTTGCAAATTAAAGAGAAAAATTCTCTGTTTAAAAATTACACATTCATATTTTTGAAATCTAGGATTATTATCATTGTCAAACACTTCACTCTTTATAATACACTGATGGGCCAGCAATAAGTTTACGGACTTACAATGCTAAAATCCGGGGTAGACAAAACACAGATAGTCTATTATATGGCTATGTATTAAAGCAAATGCTGTTTTCACAGAAATGTATATTTTATTTTATGAATAATCCAAAATCTGGGAAGTAATAGTTGTTATTAGCAAGTGAGTTGACAATGTCTTTCTGTTCGCATTAGACCGCTGTGTTATTAATCCTTAGGTAGGGTTTTATTTTTAATTAATTTAAGAGAAAAGTTTACGATGTAACATACTTCTGTACTAACAAACACAAAAGCCAACTTTAGCAACAACTATTTGTAATTTCTCTGAAATATTTTTTAATGAAATATTTCGATATAATAACGTCGATAACATTAGATGGCGCCACGTATTGTATTGTTTTTGCAGACATCTTGTAGAATCAATTCTTTGACATAATACCTTTCAAATAACACCTATGTTTTGAATATTTCTCGACTTACACGTTAACATAGACACTAGTTGAAGTTTAATTATGATAAAATAGAAGAAAATATAAGAATAACAACACGGAATACTTCGTGAGCGTGACGTTTCAACTAACACATGACAAAGATCGGTTGCTACCTAAATATGAAAGGAACGTGTATAATAATTGCGGTTGTCGTTTGCGTTCTTCCATCCACGGTTAGTATTGGTGAGTCATTATTCTTTAAATTTTTATATGTGATTTTACTAAATAATTTAGTATTTCCCATCAAATACTGACCATAATTAGACAGAATAATCTGTATGTCGTGTTTGTCGAAAAAATGTCATTCAAATTTCTAATGTTCCCTGATTTACAAGGAAGAAATATAAGGCTGAAAGTTTCCATTTGTTAATGTTTAGACGTTACGAACACGTTCCACTACATTATAGTTTGAATACTTGTTTGTTTTTACTTTTCTTTTTTTATGCTTAGAAAATCTTTCTTTTTTTTTTTTTTTGCTGGTAAGGATGGAGGAATTACATTTTCGAATATGTATAAAATTGTTGAAATAACTTTTGGTGGGAATATTACATTTATTTAAGTACAACTTGCACCTCTAACTGTCAGACACGACCACGTACGACGTTCAAAGTACAACTACATTTCAACTTGTGTATACATTCAATCAAGTGACTTTTACATACTTTACCATGTTTTAGATCCTCCACAACTTCAACCTTTTGAGTTTCCTAATGACCTTGAAATGGGCTCAAAGGTCGTAGCTGTTTGCATTCTTCGGGAAGGAGATCCACCAGTTACCATAGTTTGGAAAAAAGATAGACAGAAGTTGTCGCATGGTGATAGATTAATCATTGAACAAGTAAACGATGACATCAGTAATTTAAAGATTAGCAGCATTACTCCAGAAGACGTGGGTAATTACACATGCACTGCCACGAATTCTGCTGGCTCTGACAGTTTTACAGCTGCTCTGGTGGTTAGAGGTAAGAACTACATCCCTGGTGATAAAGGGTTAGAATTATATCCCTGGTGGTTATAGGTAAGGATAAAAGTAACAGGTAATCCTAATACGTGTGATGAAAAAAATTAATTATTGATACCACAGTGTCATTCACAGTTTCGTTAACAACTACCCATTGTATTACCAGTTGTAATTAATAGTTATTTAGGTTTGAAATCACTTGTTTGGATCTTCTTTATATTATAAAAGTCCAAATGTTGTTGCGAGTGTATGCCCATATTTGGGATAAAGTTGCTATATAGTCTCTACTGATAAACCACCTCTCTTTAAACATTTCTGATAAACCACCCCTCTTTAAACATTTCTGATAAACCATCCTCCTGTAACCATTGCTGATAAACCATCCTCCTGTAACCATTGCTGATAAACCATCCTCCTGTAACCATTGCTGATAAACCATCCTCCTGTAACCATTGCTGATAAACCATCCTCCTGTAACCATTACTGATAAACCATCCTCCTGTAACCATTACTGATAAACCATCCTCCTGTAACCATTCCTGATAAATCATCCTCCTGTAACCATTACTGATAAACCATCCTCCTGTAACCATTCCTGATAAATCATCCTCCTGTAACCATTACTGATAAACCATCCTCCTGTAACCATTCCTGATAAATCATCCTCCTGTAACCATTACTGATAAATCATCATCCTGTAACCATTCCTGATAAACCATCCTCCTGTAAACATCACTGACAAATCCTCTCTCTGTAAACATCACTGATAAACCATCCTCCTGTAAACATCACTGACAAATCCTCTCTCTGTAAACATCACTGATAAATCATCCTCCTGTAAACATCACCGATAAATCCTCTCTCTGTAAACATCACTGATAAATCCTCTCTCTGTAAACATCACTGATAAATCCTCCCACTTTTCTGACATATACAGTGGAATTCTTAATGTAACCCTTCTTTTGTTTTCCTTTTTCCACACCTTCTTAAACCAGGTCCACCTTTTTGGTCACACGAACCGGTAAACTCCCAAGCAGTGTTAGGAGCTTCACAAACAACCGTACACTGTTCTGCTGGTGGTTATCCTCGTCCTCAGCTCACATGGTTAAAGGAAGGTAAGGTTACACAGATTTAAACCGGGTGATCTGGCTTTTATTTTATCTTTCATGATTTGCGGATACAGAATTTATAGATAACGAAATATCTTATTGATGCTTCTTTATGAGTGTGTTTTTGGCGATGAGGGACGTCAATATAATTACCAATATTCTTCAGATCCTTCAGGCTCCTTCACTCCAGTCTCCAAGAGCTACAAGATGAAAGTGTTGGACAACGGAACCCTGGTGATTAACGACGTTAAGGAGACAGATTCAGGAACGTACCTGTGTCAGGCTGATAACGGAGTGGGAGAAAAGTTGGAGAAAGCTGTCCGTCTGTCTGTCCACGGTAATAACGAGATGGTGTTTGAGGCAAACAACAAAAATAAAATACAGTAATGTGAGCGAAAAGTCAGCGTATAATGAAAAAAAACAACATTAGATGAAAAAACGGTTTGAAACATGATTTCCAATGTAATCACAAATTAAACACCATTTATAACTTTGTGCAAATAGTTAGAAGGATTCCGTCCTCGGGGAGAGAGAGAGATAAAAATGCGAAGAGGTCCAGAGGGTTGTAGTGGCTGATGAGGGGGCAATCCTTCTGAAGTTTCTAAAGCGTTCAATGTAATGCTATGATATTATGTATTAACGTGATATAGACGGGTAGATGTGAACCTAACAAGTGAGTAGGCCCGGCATGGCCAGGTGGTTAAGGCACTCGAGTCGCGGGTTCGAATCCCTGTCGCACCAAACATGCTCGCCCTTTCAGCCGTGGGGGCGTTATAATGTGATGGTCAATCCCACTATTCGTTGGTAAAAGAGTAGCCCAAGAGTTGGCGGTGGGTGGTGATGACTAGCTGCCTTCCCTCTAGTCTTACACTGCTAAATTAGGGACGGCTAGCGCAGATAGCCCTCGTGTAGCTTTGCGCAAAATTCAGAAACAAACAAAAAGTGAGTATGGACTTATAGCCTACGTGATATTTAGATGTAGTTTGTTAAAACAAACTGTACCAGGTAATGTAGACACATCGATATTTGTGGAGGGTAAGCTCCTCGTAGACTTTGTGCATTTAAATTTTCCGTGTACTTTAATATTGCTTTATAAATGTAGGTAATTAAGCTTAAGTTTTGTTCATTAGTCTTTTAGCTTTCGTAAAAACAGTTGAAATAAGTAGCAGTCAAGATCTGGCATAGCCTGGTGATTAGGGTACTCGTCTTGCAATCTGCTGGTTCTTTCCTGAACATGCTTGCCCTTTCAACTGTGGGGGCGTTATAATGTGGCAACCAGTCTTATTATCATTTGATGAATAATAGCCCAAGAGTTGGCGGTGGGTGGTGTTGAGTAGCAGCCTTCCCTGTAGTCTGTCACTTCATATTTAGGAAGGAACAATTAGCGCGAAATTCTATAAACAAATCCCACAGATAAGTTTGTTGTCGTCAAGACTCTCATAGTTTATTTCTTGAATAGAAGGCAGTGTTTCAAAATATAATTACAGTATATACTTGTTGGTTTCTGGTGTAAGATCACCTTTACTTTAAAAACTACAGATGCTGAAAAGTTTGAATAATGCATGTTGGTTTAAAAGTTAATTTTTTATTTAACAATAGATGGCGCCTCGCGGTAGGAATTCTTTAACGTTGTGTATCCACTCGAATAATATTGTCTTTGTAATACAGTGAAATTAGGGACTTGTACTCAATGTTCAAGCCTGTTTTACGTACCTATAATTTAAATTTATTATTTGTTGCATAACGGATACGAACATACTTAATAAAAAGTCGAGTACAACATGGATGTTTTCATTGTACTGGTTTAAGTGTAATGTCTTGGTTAAATTATTCAATAAAAACATTTTAGGTTTATTTATCTTCAGATCGCCACCCGGTGGATTCATTGTAGCACAGCTAAAAATGTCAACGGTTTAATGTAGTTGAATAGCCTAATCAAGTGAAGATTAACTTCTAAAAAATATGAAGATGTTTTTTATATAACGATCAAGAAGTTTTCAAACATTTATTTTTTGTATTTGTGCGCACAGCACCACCCTCGATTCAAAAAGGCAGAGAGACGATAACATTTAAACGTGGAGAAACTGGGCTATTGAGTTGCGCGACAAATGGTGAGCTTCCCATGATTGTGAAATGGCAGAAAAACGAAGATAATCTTGAGTTATGGTCAAACAGGTACCGATAGCATGTCAAAAATTGATATGGGTTAGCGAATTCTATTCCAATTTTCTTGATATTATTAAATATTTTTATTGATGTTATAAAGTATGACTTGTGATTTTATTGAAGCCAAAAAAATATTTTTGAGAAACTTTATCTGCTTAATATTTTAGTATAAATTATTTCAGTTTGAAATCGGTAACATTGTAAATTTGCATAATAAATATTACTGAACGTGTATTTTGTTTTTGTGTAAAACAAAATGTTCGTTCTCTTTCTTCAACCTTCTTTTCTCCGCCAAACGACAGGCATGAAACGTACACCGAAGACACATTTGAAGGTATTAAGTCTACTCTAGTTCTCAGGAATATTCAGCCACAGGATGCTGCCCTCTATACCTGCAAAGTTAGAAATAATTTTGGGAGTGATGAGCTAAGTTTTAATATAATTATCAATGGTAAGATGCTAAGCCATTTTATAATCAGTCAGATTTAATTATGTGATATTTACTAGAGAAGTGATTAGGTTATGCCTATTTCGTGATGTATAACGTATGTACATAACAGCAAATTTATCTTCTTTCAGTCTTCGTATGGAAATTGCAGTTTTGTTTTAACTTGAACTTTACGTAACCCAAATAGTTATTCACATCGGCTATACACAGAATATTTCAATAAATGTAACATTCATTTATTCACAGAAGTGTCATCACTCATAAATAATATATTTTTTGTGAGTGTAAAACATTTAAATACACCATTTCAATATATCATTATTTTATTACTTTACTGTATACAGTATAAGCAAAAATACCCGTCCCCAGTGACAGGAAAAGTTTAAGTTAATCTATCAATTTTAATAATTTCATGGACTTTTAAAAAGGTTAATTGTGTTGAACTCTTGGTTACACTTGGAGCCAAAGCTCTGAGCTACGTATACTGCCCACTGTGAAAGATAATTGTTGAGCATTTCAGTCATGCTAAGAGCCGCTCAACAATAACATATGTTAAATCTACGTTATTATTCTTTAAATTAACATCACATTTTGAAATGTGAATGATAGGGTGATTAATTCCTAACAATTTAAGTGTGAAATATCCTGCTTACGAAATAAATTTGGCATCAACATTATTCATGCTTGTTCTCCTGTCATTTCAAAAGAGAATGGTAAGCTTTTCCTGCATGTGCAGCTTTTGAAATGGTAAGCTTTTCCTGCATGTGCAGCTTTTGAAATGGTAAGCTTTTCCTGCATGTGCAGCTTTTGAAATGACAGGAGAACAAGCATGAACGCTTTGACCAATATTTATAAGATAAAATTGAAATAAAAAATGTTATATTAACCTACTTTCTTTCACAAGTTTTACTATTCTGAACAGAACCACCCCAGAGTCCATATCAGGTTACAGTCAGTGACATCCGTAGTCGAACAGCTAGGGTGACATGGCAGATATCTACCACTCTGACAGCAGTTACTCAGTTTATTGTTCGGTTTTGGCCAACAAGAGGTGAGCTACTTTATCATTAGTCCATTAAAGTAACACAGTTTGCTGTACCATCTTTCTCTAGTTATATTTATGTTTTAAGTGCAGTTAAACATACTAATTTTCTTTGTTTACATAAAGGTAAAAAAAAAACTCGCAGACTTCAAGAAGAAACTTTATCCTTTAGTGAAAGAATGTTATTACTTCAAGATCTTCATCCTGGTACAGAATACACAATAGAAATTCAGGCAGAGAACAGTATAGGATTCAGTGAACCTTCCGACCCAGTAAGGTTTACTACAATGGAGGAAGGTTGGTATCTGATTTTCATCAAATTATAGAATGCCTTGTAGAGATTCAAGCAAAAAATAGGGAGTTAATAAACCTTTTGATCATGTTAGGCTTACAAGCATTAACAGAAAGTTACATGTACTGAAGAAGCAGAATTTTTATGGAGAAATGACTTATAAGTGTTTTTTAATAAAACAAAATAAATATTTACTCTCACAATGTAAACAGTTTGGAGCATGTGAATGTAATCCAACTTATCTTTCAACAGAACCAAGCTCAGCCCCTGTGGATATTAAGGTGACAGCTGTTGATTCACAGACTCTATTTGTATCTTGGAAGGTGAGAAAAGAGAAGCTGTTTGAAGTAAAGATTCCTTATAGAAATGCAGCACATACAATAGATCAGTGAGAGTGAAATAGTTTTTATCGATGTTAAATGACCATATGCTACACTTAAAAATGAAAACTGACTAGTGCAGACTGAAGAAGAATGAAAATGTTTCTTTCTACATAAGGAGGAGGGTACACGGTACAAGAAAGAGAGCTACTTCCTTCCTTGTTCATGTAGGTGATAGTTTTCTTATACCGAGAGCTACTTCCTTCCTTGTTCATGTAGTGATAGTTTCTTATAGCGAGAGCTACTTCCTTCCTTGTTCATGTAGTGATAGTTTCTTGTAGCGAGAGCTACTTCCTTCCTTGGTCATGTAGTGATAGTTTTCTTGTACT